TTGAGGGTTCATCATATGTTATATTGTGATAAATATAATCAATTAAATGTTTATCATGTTCTTTTTTGATGAACTTATGCCAACCAACATCTGGATGCCAGTTAATAGTAGGATTTAAACTTTCAGGATATTTTGCCCTCCCCTCCCTTCCAAGTCAATTTTAATATCAACTTCTCCATTTTCATATTTAGCCATGATGTTCTCATCACAAAGATCTCCATGTACATAATCAGAGTCATGAAGTAATTTTACAGCATTTCTAACAGCATTTTCTGTTTGAGGAAATATTCTTGAATCAAGAGCATATAGTGTTTTATATTCTTCCAGATATTCCATGATAACAATCTTCCAGCCTAGTTGAAGGTTATTAACTGCCCATAATTTGGGTGCTAAACCTAGTTCAAAACATTTTCCATGTGCTTCTTCAGAATATTCTTGGGTGAATTTGACCAAACCCTTAGCTTGTTTGTCTCCAAATTGGATTTCTACCATCCATAAATTTCGATTTATAGAATATCTTTCTTTGTATTTGATGATAACTGTTCCTTCTTCTAAATTAACCTTATTGATGCATGGAAATAAATGATCACGATTGGCAATAGTTTCAAAAAGATTCATAAACAGAATTATAATATTCTTTCAAAATATATAAATACTTTTTTAAAGCCAGAAATATGTGAGGGATTGAGATCGTCATTGTTATCAAATATGCCTGCTGATTATGCGCAAATGATGGAGATGTGGACTCATCAAAACGACCAACTATTCTAGATCTTTGGAGGTTCGTTAATAATAAATTAAAGGAAATTTATAAACATTATCTTCATTTTATGATACCATAACATTTATTTAAATTGCTGCAAGAGTATCAACCAGTCCTCCAACTACTATTACATCAGCAGCAGGGAGGCTGAACAGACTGATATTTTCCAAATTGCACAAGACATTACTGCTAATTTATTTATTTAAAATCCCTCGATTGTTAACCATGTCAAATTATACTAATATATAAAATAAGTTATTTGACTTATTTTTATCCCACCATATATGGGGCATGCTGCAACAAAACCAGACAAAGTGAACATTGGTATTATCAAAGATTTCAGGGATCAAAATTTAGTAATGTGATTATTAAAATTTTCCTCTTGATATATAGAATTACCTCTATATAAAAATAGTTAATATGAAGCTAATTTACATCAGATCTACAATGGAACCCAAGAATTATAGTACTATCAGAAGTATTTTAAAAAAAGAACAAGGTGAAAAAATTGCTCCTTACA